TCTTTGCTATTGTGAATAGTGCTTCAGTGAACATACGAGTGCATGTGTCTTTTTGGTAGAATGATTTATTTTCCTTTGGATATATATTCAATAACGGGATTGCTGGATCAGATGGTAATTCTATTTTTAGTTCTTTCAGAAATCTCCAAAGTGGTTTCCACAGTGGCTGACCTAATTTACATCCCCACCACAATGTTTAAGCTTTTCCTCTTCTGACTTTTTTTTTTTCCCCACATTTTTTTGAGACAGGGTCTCGCTCTGTTGCCCAGGCTGAAGTGGAATAGCACAAACATAGCTCACTGTAACCTTGAATTTTTGGGCTCAGTGATCCTCCCACCTCAGCCTCCTGAGTAGGTAGGACTACAGACACATGCCACCACGTCTGGCTAATTATTTTTTCCATAGAGATAGCGTCTTGCTATATTGCCCAGGCTGGTCTCAAACTCCTACAGTCCTCCCACCTCAGGCTCCCCAAAGTGTTGGGATTATAGGCTTGAGTCACCATGCCCAGCCTCGACTTTTTAGTAACCATTCTTACTGGTGTGAGATGGTGTAACTCATTGCGGTTTTTTATTTTGTTTGTTTTTTGAGGCAGGGTCTCACTCTGTCACCTAAGCTGGAGTACAGTGGTACAATTACCGCTCACTGCCGCCTCAGCCTCCCAGGCTCAAGGGATCCTTCCATCTCAGCCTCTTGAGTAGCTGGGACTACAGGTGTGCGTCACCATGCCTGGCTAATTTTTGTATTTTTTGTAGAGATAGGGTCTTGCCATGTTGCCCAGGCTGTTCTGAAACTACTGGGTTCAAGTGATCCACCTGCCTCAGCCTCCCGAAGTTCTGGGATTATGGGTGTGACCCACCATTCCCAGCCTTGTATGTCTTCTTTTGAAGTGTCTGTTCATGTCCTTTGCCCACTTTTTAATGGGGATATTTGTTTTTTTGCTGTTGATTTTTTTTTTTTAAGTTCCTTATAGACTCTGGATATCAGATCTTTGTTGGATGCATAGCTTGCGAATATTTTCTTAACATTCTTTTTTTTTTTTTTTTTTTTGAGGCATAGTCTCACTCTGTCACCCAAGCTACAGTGCAGTGGTGTGATCATGGCTCACTGTAGCCTCAACTTTCTGGGCTCAGTGATCCTCCCACTTCAGGATCTGCAAATGTCTTTCCGTTTGGTTGTGTCATCTATGATTTCTTTCAACAGTGTTTTGTAGTTCTTGTAGAGATCTTTCACTTCCTTGGTTGGATATATCCTAGGTATTTTGTGTGTGTGCATATGGCTATTATAAATGGGATTGTGCAGGACTACAGGCACATGCCACCACACCTGGCTAATTTTTAAATGTTTTTGTAGAGACAGGTCTCCCTTTGTTGCCCAGGCTGGTCTCAAACTCCTGGGCTCAAGTAATCCTCCTGCCTTGGCCTCCCAAGGTGCCGGGATTACAGATGTGAGCCAGTGCACCCGACCTGTTTACTCTTGGTAGTTTCGTTTGCTGTGCAGAAGCTCTGTAGCTTAATTAGGTCCCACTTGTCAGTTTTTGTTTTTGTTGCAATTGCTTTTGAGGACTTAGTCATGAAATATTTACCAAGGCCAATATCCTGAAGGGTATTTGCTAAGGTTTCTTTTGGGATTTTTATAGTCTTAGGTCTTACATTTAAGTGTTTAATCCATCTTGAGTTAATTTTTGCATATGGTGATAGGTAAGGGTCCAGTTTCATTCTGCATGTGGATAGCCAGTTACCTCAGCACAATTTATTGAGTAGGGATTCGTTTCCCAGTTGCTTATTTTTGTCAGCTTTCTCAAAGATCAATCAGTTGGTTGTAGGTGTGTGGCTTTATTTCTGGGTTCCCTATTCTGTTCAATTGGTCTGTGTTTCTGTTTGTGCACAAGTGCCATGTTCCTTTTCTCCAGCCTTGAAGTACAGTTTGATGTTGATGTTGGGTAATGTGATGCCTCCAGTTTTGTTCTTTTTGTTTTAGATAGCTTTGGCTATTTGGGCTCTTTTTTGGTTCCATATGAATTTTAGAATAGTTTTTTCTAATTCTGTGAAAAATGACATTGATAATTTGATAGGAATAGTGTTGTCTATAGATTGCTTTGGAGAGTATAGTTTCTTTTCTTTTCTTTTCTTTTCTTGGTGCTGGGACTTCGATGCGAACCAAGGTTGCTGCAGACACGGTATGGTCATTTTAATGATATTGATTCTTCTAATCCATGAGCATGGAATGTGTTTCCATTTGTTTGTGTTATCCGTGATTTCTTTCAACAGTGTTTTGTAGTTCTTGTAGAGATCTTTCACCTCCTTGGTTAGATATATTCCTAGGTATTTTATGTATGTGTATGACTATTGTAAATGGGATTGCATACTTGATTTTACTCTCAGCTCGAACATTATTGGTGTATAAAAATGCTACTGATTTTTGTATATTGATTTTGTATCCTGAAACTTTACCAAAGTCTTACCTTTAGCAATTCTATAGAGTCATATAGTCAGCAGAGAGATAATTTGACTTCTTTTCCTATTTTGTTGTCTTACTTGATTGTTCTGGCTAAGATTTTCGGTACTCTGTTGAATATGAGTGAAAAGAGCAGTCATCCTTGTCTTATTCCAGTTCTTAAGGGCAATGCTTCCAGCTTTTGCCCATTCATATGATGTTGTCTGTGGGTTTGCCATAGATGGCTCTTATTATTTTGAGTTATGTTCCTTCCATGCCTAGTTTGTTGAAGGTCTTTATTATGAAAGGATGTTGAATTTTATTGAAAGCTTTTTCTGCATCTATTGAGATGATCATGTGGTTTTTGTTTTTAATTCTGTTGATGTAGTGAATTGTGTATATTGATTTGCATATGTTGAACCAACCTTGCATCCCAGGAATAAAACCTACTGGTTGTGGTGTGTTAACTTTCTGAAGTACTGCTGGATCTGGTTTGCTAGTGTTTTGTTGAAGATTTTTGTATCTCTGTTCATCAAGGATATTGACCTGTAGTTTCTTTTTTTGTTGTGTCTTTGCCAGATTTTGGCATGAGGATAATGCTGGCCTTATAGAGTGATTTGGAGAGGAGTTGACTTTTTGGAATATTTTAGTAGGACTGGTGCCAGTTCTTTGTGCATCTAGAATTCAGCTGTGATCTCTCTGGTCCAGGGCTTTTTTTGGTTGATAGGTTTTTTATTTATTACTGATTCAGTTTTGGAACTCATTATTGGCTTGTTCACAATTTCTTTTTTTTCTGAGTCAGTCTTGGGAAGTGTTATGTTTCCGGGAATTTATCCGTTTCCTCTAGATTTTCTTTGCTGTGCAGAAGCTCTTTAGTCTAATTAGGTCCCACTTGTCAATTTTTGTTTTTATTACAATTGCTTTTGAGGACTTTCTCTTTCTTTCTCTCTCTCTTTTTTTTTTCTTGAAACAGGGTCTCACCCAGGCCGGAGTGCAGTGGCATGATCATGGCTCACTGCAACCTCCCAGGCTCAATTAATCCTCCTATCTGTCTCCTGCGCAGCTAGAACTACAGATACACACCATCACACCTGGCTAATCTTTAAAATTTTACCCAGGCTGGTCTCAAACTTCTGACCTCAAGTGATTCTCCCATGTTTGCCTCCAAAAGTATTTGTATTACAGGTGTGAGCCCATTGCCTCTAGATTTTCTGGTTTGTGCACGTAGAAGTGTTCATAATAGTCTGTGAGGATCTTTTGTATTTCTGTGGAATCAGTTGTAATGTCACCTTTGCCATTTTCTAGTTGTGCCTATATGGAGCTTCTCTCTTCTTTTCTTTGTTAATCTAGCTAGGAGTTTATCAATCTTGTTTATCCTTTCAAAAAACCAATTTTTTTGTTTTATTGATCCCTTGTATGGATTTTTGAGTCTCAATTTTGTTTAGTTCTGCTGTGATTTTAGTTATTTCTTTTTTTCTGCTAGCTTTCGGGTTTGTTTGTTCTCAGTTATCTAGTTTCCCTAGATGCCATATTAGATTATTAATTTGAGATCTTTCTAACTTGATTTAGGTGTTTGGTGCTATAAACTTTCCTCTTAACATTGCTTTTGCTGCATCCCATATATTTTGATATGTTGTGTCTGTTTTCATTTATTTTAAAGAATGTTTTGATTTCTGCTAATTTCATTGTTTATTCAAAAGTCATTCTGGAGTATGTTTTTTACTTCCCATGTAATTTGTGTGGTTCTGAGAGATCCTCAGTATTGATTTCTATTTTCATTTTACTGTGGTCTCAGAATATATGCATGGTATGATTTCAATTAAAAAATTTTGAGACTTGCTTTACAGCCAAGCATGTGGTTGACCTTAGAGTAGTATGTTCCACATGCAGCATCATCAGCATTTATCTTGGTGATAACATGGATTCTATGACAGGTGTTAATAGTATAGTTTTTATGTTTTAAAAGTGGGTAGTTTGCTAAGGAAAACATGAAGAGGGCTGATTTGACTTTTAGTGGTTGTCATTTTATAAAGTGATATGTGAGGCTGGGCAGGGTAGCTCACGCCTGTAATCTCAGCACTTTGGGAGGCAAAGGCAGGAGGCACACTTTAGCCCAGGAGTTCGAGTCCATCCTGGGCAACATGGCAAAACCCCATCTCTACTAAAAATACAAAAGTTAGCCAGGCATGGTGGCACATGTCTGTAGTCCTAGCTACTTGGGAGGCTGAGGTGGGAGGATCGCTTGAACTTGGGAGGTTGGGGCTTCAGTGAACCGTGATCACACCACTGTACTTTAGCCTGGGCAACACAGTGAGACCCTGTCTCAAAAAAAATAAGTGAGATATGAGAAGAAATTTTTCTATTCTTGAAATGCTTGTAGGGATAGTCTTTATGCCTAGTCAAGCCTAAAACACTTTTTAAAAAAGAGATATTTGTTACATATAATTAAGGCAGCTATTATAATAATACTATTCTAAGTTATTAACTTTTGAAAACTTTTTTAATTTTGCAGTTTTTATGACATGTTAGCAAATTTTTATGGTGGAACTTTTCTTTACTGACAGGTGCATTCCTTGTAAAGGTTCTCGGTTTCCCCCAACCCTTCCACGCCCTGCCGTTGCTATATTATCCTTTAAGCTTCCTTATTGTCAGATTGCAACAGAGAAAGGACAAATGGAGGTATGTGGAAGTCTTACCTTGACACTTTGAATTTGATAATACAGCACCTGTGATACATACACTTTAAAATTGTCGTGATGGCCACTATATTCATTACTGTATAATTACATGAATAGGGGTAGCAGGGAGGGAGGAGGACTGCTTAGGATCACCAGGCCACCTGATTGCCATCACTGCTTCCAGGGACTTTGTCTACAAAGTAAACGGGTGTGACTATCAAAGACCCACTGGGGAAAGACTTACTCTCAGGATAGGGCATGTCCCTGAGAAGAAGTGCCTCCATCATTTTGTGCCGTAGGCACCTGGCTTACCTGACCCTAGTCCTAGCCCTGTGTCATCAAAAGTCATTTGAAATCTGCAATTAGTTACTCTAAATAAGAAACAAATTAGCTTTTAAAAAGTTTGTTTACCAAGTTCTCTGAGCATTCATTATGATAGCTAGGAAACTGTTTTAAATGCTGTATTCCTCCCCAACTGCCTTTTTTAAGGATAGGGGAAAAAGTTAAGCTGTAGTATCACACTAGAATTTGAATTGTAAAATAAACTTATAGAAAGGAGGGCTTCAGAACATATTTTATTCAAAAACTGGTGTCTTGAGAGAAATATTTAACACTTGTCTCATACTAAGGTGATAGTTGGCATTAAGCAATTTTGTTCACTTTTGTAGGAGCAGTTTTGGCGTTCAGTTATATTTCACAACCACCTTGATTATTTAGCTAAAAATGGTTATGAATACGAAGAGAGCACTAAAAAGCAAGCAACAAAAGAGCAACAGGAACTTTTAATGAAAATGCTTGCGGTGAGTAAAATAAATATACTGAAGATGTTAAAGTTAAATGCTTTTCTATAGGTTGAATTTCTTAAAGGTCTGTGCATTAGGACTAAGTCCCACAACCTAAGATTCTTAAGTTTGTTGTTGTTGTTGTTGCGACGGAGTCTCGTTCTGTCACCCAGGCTGGAGTGCAGTGGTGTGATCTCAGCTCACTGCAACCTCTGCCTCCTGGATTCACACAATTCTCTTGCCTCGGCCTCCCGAGTAGCTAGGATTACAGGCGCCCACCACCACGCCCAGCTATTTTTTTGTGTGTGTTTTTAGTAGAAACGGGGTTTCACTATGTTGGCCAGACTAGTCTCGAATTCCTGACCTCATGATCCGCCCGCCTCAGCCTCCCAAAGTGCTGGGATTGCAGGCATGAGCCACCGTGCCTGGCCATTCTTAAGTTTTATCTGATGGCATTTTCCCCTATAAAGTTCTATTTTCTGGTTGGTCTTGCAGTTAAATTTTTTTTTTTTTTTAGACAGAGTTTCACTCTTGTTTCTCAAGCTGGAGTGCACTCGTGCAGTCTTGGCTCACTGCAACTTCCACCTCCCGGGTTCAAGTGATTCTCCTGCCTCAACCTCCTGAGTAGCTGGGACTACAGGCGTGTGCCACCACACCTGGCTAATTTTTGTATTTTTAGTAGAAACAGCGTTTCACCATGTTGGTCAGGCTGGTCTTGAACTCCTGACCTCAGGTAATTCACCTGCCTCGGCCTCCGAAAGTGCTGGGATCATAGGCATGAGCCACTGTGCCCAGCCTAGAATGAATACAACATTACCTTGTAGCTAAGATCATGTGCAGGAATAAACATCTCTGGGGCTACTGCCCTTTTGCTTTTGCCCATCAGTCTGTGTTTTAACAGGCCCTCAAAGTAACTGAGAACTACTGCTCTAGTTTCTGTTACTGTTTTACAAAGTTTGAGTGTATACTTTTTTTTAATATCCAGGGCTGGGCAATCTTAAGAACTTCGATCAGGCTTTTAGATATGCCTGCCTTTTGTCATCCTCTTTGAATTAGGCAGCTGTGTGTGATGAAAATTTATTTGTGACCAGTGGCCAGGTTTGATGTCTAGAATATTTAAGTACATTTATCTCTGGAGCAGGGTGTCTTAAAGTTCCTGTGCTTGTGTCCCCACTCGTGGTTGGTTTATGGAGAGGAGTATAGTATTATTTCTTCTCTATTTGTTTTACACCAGACTTTACGCCCCTGAGAGCAGAGACCTGCTCACTGCTGTATGCCAGGCAATGATGTGGTGGCTTAACACATAGTAGACCTTAATATTTGTTGACAGAGTGAATGGTCCAGACTTTTAATTTTAAAGTTGAAGAAACAAGGTTCTTAGAGCAAAGTGGTATATGAGACCACAGAGCAAATTGCCACTCTTGTCTCTAAAAAGTAGTACTTACTACTGTCACCTTTATGCAACATGGCCTTAAGTTTGGTATTAAGAAAACTCATTTTGGTAGTAAGAAAACTTTATTGTAGAATAAGCTTTATTCCTTTGATAAAGTGTTACTTGTGGTCCAGGAACTAGCAGCCTTTTTACTTTGTACAACACATGTAAGGAAATATGTTTCATGTATTTGCTATTTAGCCTTAGAGGAGCTTTTCCTTGTGGCAGTGTTTCTCATATCAAAAATACCAGGGGACTCATATCAAAGATACCAGGGCAGGAGGATATCTTGAGCCCAGGATTTCGAGGGGATTGGTGAGTTCTTTAGCATTCCTGGCCCCCGGGCAAATGCCTTTAGTTCAGCATAGTCACTGTGGAAACCAAACTATTCCTTTTTCTTTTCTTTTTTTTTTGAGATGGAGTCTCGCTCTGTTGCCCAGGCTGGAGTGCAGTGGTGCGATCTCGGTTCACTGTAAGCTCTGCCTCCCGGGTTCACGCCATTCTCCTGCCTTAGCCTCCTGTGTAGCTGGGACCACAGGCGCCCGCCACCACGCCCGGCTAATCTTTTGTATTTTTACTAGAGACGGGTTTCACCATGTTAGCCAGGATGGTCTCGATCTCCTGACCTTGTGATTCACCCGCCTCGGCCTCCCAGAGTGCTGGGATTATAGGCATGAGCCACCACGCCCAGCCTCCTTTTTATTTCTAAATGCCCCCTGAGGCAGTGGAGGCAGTGTACCATCCTGATTAAGAAGTACTGATTATAGATAAATGATACTAAAAATCTTGAAAAGGACATCCAGGTGAATATCTAAAGCTTCTGTGCTGATGGATCAGACATGGAATATATAAGTAAGAAAACAGTTCTAATATGCTATGAATTAGGAGACCCTTAGTAATCTTCAAAGTACCAATTTTTCTCAGTTTGTTGGTTTTCTTTTTTGTATTTTTTAGAGACAGAGTCTCACTGTCACCCAGGCTAGAGTACAGTGGCAAGATTGTGACTCACTGCAGCCTCAACCTCCTGGGCTCAAGTGAACCTCCTGTCTCAGGCTCCTGAGTAGCTGAGACTACAAGTGCATGCCACCACGCCCAGCAAATTTATTTTTTGTAGTTACAGGGTCTCACCGTGTTGCCCAGGCTAGTCTCAAACTCCTGGCCTCTAGCGATCCCTCTGCTTTGGCCTTCCAAAGTGCTGGGATTACAGGTGTGAGCCACCACGCCTGGTCCCCTTGGCTTTTTTTGTTTTTTGTTTTTTTTTGAGACAGAGTCTTGCTTTGTCGCCCAGGCTGGAGTGTAGTGGTGTAATCTCGGCTCACTGCAACCTCCACCTCCCGGGTTCAAGCGATTCTTCTGCCTCAGCCTCCTGAATAGCTGGGATTACAGGCGCACGCCAGCATGCCTGGCTAATTTTTGTGTTTTTAGTAGAGACGGGGTTTTGTCATGTTGGCCAGGCTGATCTCGAACTCCTGACCTCATGATCCACCCACCTGGGCCTCCCAAGGCACTGGTATTACAGGTGTGAGCCACCATGCCCAGCCTCCCCCTTGAATTTTTAAAATGAATTTCTTAATTTTCTTGCAATTAGTAGCTTAAAGTGCTATGTAATATTTCATCAAATCTAAGCCACTATTTATGGCATAATGCACCATTACTTTATTCATTTAAGCCATGGAGACACAAAAATGCTGCCAAACTGACCCACCATTAATTGTAATTAATTGTAATTCCAATTTCAAAGATGTTAAAGCTTGTAAAAATGTGCATCTTAGAATCAGGGAGTTACAGTAGCTAGAAAACTATTTTCTCAGTTTTACTAATAGTGTCAGTATCTTTAAAAAGTTTTACTTGATGTGATTTGATCTTTTTTTCCCCCCCCCTTTTTGGATTAGCTTTCTTGTAAACTGGAGCGGGAATTCCGTTGTGTGGAACTTGCTGATCTAATGACTCAAAATGCTGTGAATTTAGCCATTAAATATGCTTCTCGCTCTCGGAAATTAATACTAGCTCAAAAACTTAGTGAACTGGCTGTAGAGAAGGCAGCTGAATTGACAGCAACCCAGGTGGAAGAGGGAGAAGAAGAAGAAGATTTCAGAAAAAAGCTGAATGCTGGGTAAGAAATAATTCAGTTGTTTGAATTTTCCTTTACTGTCTTGATTGTTAAGTTGGTCTTTACATAGCTCTTTATTGAATAATCTTATTTTCTCTTAGTTACAGCAATACTGCTACAGAGTGGAGCCAACCAAGGTTCAGAAATCAAGTTGAAGAAGATGCCGAGGACAGTGGAGAAGCTGATGATGAAGAAAAACCAGAAATACATAAGCCTGGTGAGATACATTTGCAAGCCCATAAATGATGAGAACTATCATGGATGTGGCTTTTCCCATTTTACTTAACTGAGGGAAATTGAATACTCATACTTTTTTTCAGACCTCTTTGCTGTCAGGTTGTTTTATATTGAGGATGAGTTTATTTTCCCTATTTACATTATATTGCTTTATTTTAATCTGTAGGACAGAACTCATTTTCCAAAAGTACAAATTCCTCCGATATTTCAGCTAAGTCAGGTGAGAAATATTTATAAATTTGTAATATCAAGGAAATTTTGAAAGTTGTCTGTAAAGTGGCACATCTACGCAAATACACCTTACCCCTTAAGGCCATTTTTGTGTGTGTGTGTTTATGTTTTTGTTTTTTAATCTCAGATGTTGTTTGTGAAGCTATGGTCATTTAACAAATGTTTATAAACTGCCTATTGTGTGTCAGGCATTTTACTTAATGGTGGATACAGAAGTCAAACAGACATGCATGGTTGATCTCTGTTTTAATGCTATTTTAGCCCAGCTGGGAAGACAGATCTGGATATCACTGAGGAAACATGCAGGATACTGGAGAAATAGTTAAAAGGAATTGAAGGCCAGGTGCAGTGGCTCATGCCTGTAATCCCAGCACTTTGGGAGGCCAAGGCGGGCGGATAACGAGGCCAGGAGTTCTAGACTAGCCTGGCCAACATGGTGAAACCCCATCTCTACTAAAAATACAAAAATTAGCTGGGTGTGGTGGTGTGTGCCTGTAATCCCAGCTACTCGGGAGGCTGAAGCAGGAGAATCGCTTGAACTCAGGAGGCAGAGGCTGCAGTGAGCTGAGATCGTGCCATTGCACTCCAGCCTAGGCAATGGAGTAAGACTCTATCTCAAAAAAAAAAAAAAAAGAAAGAAAAGAAAAGAAAAAAAAAAGGAGTTGAAAATAGTTGCGTTCAGGGAGTGGGCCTGCGGGATAGAGAAGGTTGGAGTAGGGCCCTGCTGGCCTTTTGTCAGTGGGGAGCATAAACCTTATAATACCATTTGACTTTTTAAACTGTGGACATATGTTACTTTCATTTAAAAAATTAACTTAAAAAACATATAGAATATGAAAAGAGCGTATAACACATAGCTGTCATCTAGTCGGTGGAGAATAGGTAGGGACTCCAAGGCAGACCTCATGGAGTATTTACAGCAGAGACCTGAAGGATGAATAATAGTCAGCGAGGCAAAGATGTATGGGAACAGGAGCCGAAGAGAAGCATTGGACTTAAGGAACAGTATGTGTGAAGTGAAGACTGCAAAAGGATGGTGTGAAAAGCTCAGAGAGCAAAGAGAAAGTGGTGCTGAAGGGTTTTAGAGTGATGGGCAGGAGCCAAGTCATGCAGATCTGTATAGGCCATATTGAGGATTTTGGTCTTTTTTTTTTTTTTTAATAGAGATATGGGGTGTCACTCTGTTGTCCAGGCTGGTCTCAAACTCAAGCAATTTGCTCACCTCCACATCCCAAAGTGTTGGACCTACAGGTGTGAGCCACCACACCCAGTCAGGATTTTGCTCTTTATTCTAAGGTCACTGAGAGACTGTTGTAGGTTTTAAGCAGAGATATAGCATGGCACACTGTGCTGAAGAAGAATAGATATACCCAGGCATGATGGCTCACGTCTGTAAACTCAGCATTTTGGGAGGCCAAGGTTGAATGATCACTTGAGGCCAGACGTTTGAGACCAGCCTAGGGAACAACGAAACCCTATCTCTACAAAAAGTAAAAAATAAAAATATTAGCCAGGCATGGTAGTGCACGCCGGTAGTCCCAGGTATTTGGGAGGCTGGTGCAGGAGGATATCTTGAGCCTAGGAGTTTGAGAGTGCAGTAGGCTATGGTTGCACCACTGCACTCCAGCCTGGGTGACAGAGCAAGACCCTGTATCAAAAAATAAGTAAATAGGCCAGGCATGGGGGCTCACGCCTGTAATCTCAGCACTTTGGGAGGCCAAGGCAGGTGGAGCACTTGAGGTCAGGAGTTCAAGACCAGCCTGGCCAAAATGGTGAAACCATATCTCTCTTAAAAATAAAAAAAAAATTAAAAAAAAAAATCATGCCTGTAATCCCAGCTACTTGGGAGGCTGAGGCAGAATTGCTTGAATCCACGAGGTGGGGGTTGCAGTAAGCGGAGATAATGCCACTGCACTCCACCCTGGGTGGCAGAGTGAGACTTCATCTAAAAAAATAAGAAGAAGAGTAAGTAAATAAAAATTAAAAAATAAATAGACTACAGTGGCAGTTCAAATGAGACTGAATAAGGGCCTGAGCTAAGGTGATGATGGTGATGTTAGAAAGAATGGGCAGAATTGGAGAGCTATTTCTGAAGATGATGAAGAGCATGTAGGAGTTCAGGGCATAAAGAATGACTCAGTTTCTTGTAATAGAAGAAAAACTTAAGCACATTTAAATCTTACAGGATTAATTTGAGCGTTCCGTGATTCATGAATCAGGGAGGCACCAAACCGCAAGGGGCTAGCACTCTGTCAGGAGAGAAAAAAGGGGAAACTTCTATAAAGTATTTTCAGAAACAAGATAAATAAAACAATTTTTATTGGCTAGATGGAAAGTTTTTTTTGTTGTTGTTGTTTTGTGGGGATGGGGGGATACAGGGTATCTTGCTTTGTCACTCAGACTGGAGTAGAGTTGGAATGCACTGATGCAGTCCTAACTCACTACAGCCTTGAAATTGTGTGCTCAAGTGATCCTCCTGCCTCACCCTACTGAGTAGCTATGACTACAGTTGTGCATCACCATGCTTGGTTAATTTTTGGTGTGTACTTTTTGTAGAGAGAGGGGCTCGCTTTGTTGCTGAGGCTGGTCTGGAACTCCTGGGCTTAAGCAACTCTCCTGCCTTAGCCTCCCAAAGTTCTGGGATTATAGGCACAAGTGGCCATGCTCAGCTGGAAAGTTAGTTAGTTCCTCCCTCCCTCCCTCCCTCTCTCCTTTCCTTCCTTCCTTCCTTCCTTCCTCCCTCCCTCCCTCCCTCTCTCCTTTCCTCCTTCACTCCCTCCCTCCCTCCCTCTCTCCCTCTCTCCTTTCCTCCCTCCCTCCATCTGTCCCTTCTTCCCTCCTTCCCTCCTCTTTTTTTTCCCCCAGGGTCTGACTCGTCACCCAGGTTAGAGTGCAGTAGCATGATTATGACTCACTGCAGCCTCAACCTCCCAGACCCAAGCGATCTTTCCACTTCAGCCTCCCAAGTAGCTGGGACCATAGGCATGTGTCACCATGTCTGTCTAGTTTTGTTTTGGTTTGGGTTTTTTGTTTCGTTATGTTTTTTGTTTTTGTAGAGACAGGGTCTCTCCCTATGTTACCCAGGCTGGTCTTAAACTGGGCTCAAGCAGTCCTCCCTCCTCAGCCTCACAAAGTGCTGGGATTACAGGCATGAGCCACCATGCCAGGAAAGCTCTTAATTAGAGATTAGTTTGTTAACACTGGCTTGAGTACTTGAGTGAATGATGGTGCCATTTCCTAAGTCAGGAAACACTAGGGAAAAACAGATTTAGAGAGGAAGATGATGAATTACTGTAAGGTAAGTAGAAGGTCATGAAGACAGATATTTGAATCAGGAGCTCAGGAAAGTATTCTGGTCAAGAGATACAAAGTGAAAATCACTGGCATAAGTATAGCAATTTAAACCATGGGCATGGGGAAGCAAGCATTGGGGGAGAATGTAAAGCAAGAAGAAAAATGAGCTTAGGACTAGGGAATCTCCAACATTTGAGCATCGGGTAGAGGAAGAGGAGGAACCAACTATTGGAAGACAATGAGTCCACAGGTCCAGAGAGGAAGGAACTAAGTCAGGGAATGCAGTGTCTCAGAAGTCAAGAGAGGACAAAGTATCAAGAAGAAAGGAACAGTCAGCTATGTGGGATGCCATTGATAGAGCCAATAAGGTGACTGACAGGTATCCACCAGATTTGACCATGTAGAGATCATTGAGGACCTTAGCAAGAGGAGATTCTGTAGGGTAGTAGGGCTGGAAGTGCTATATTGTATGGAGGAATGTATGGGTGGTGAGGAAATGATAATAGTGTCAACAGCTCTTGGAAAAATTTGGCTGGATGACCGGGCACAGTGGCTCATGCTTGTAATCCCAGCACTGTGGGAGGCCAAGGCAGACGGATCACCTGAGGTCAGGAGTTCAAGACCAGCCTGGCCAACATGGTGAAACCCTGTCTTTACTAAAAATACAAAAATTAGCCAGGTGTGGTAGCAGGCGCCTATAATCTCAGCTACTCGGGATGCTGAGACAGTAGAATTGCCTGAACCTGAGAGGTGGACGTTGCAGTGAGCCAAGATCGCTTGGGCAACAAGAGTGAGACTCTGTCTCAAAAAAAAAAAAAAAAAAAATGGCTGGATGGAGGAGACGAGAGAAAATGATGACTGGAAGGAATGTAGGGTAGGGTTTTTGTTTCTTTTTAAGTTGGGAAACTTTAGGGGCCAATAAATAGGGAAAAGTCAAAGATGTAGGCTGTCAAGAAACTTGATAGGTCAGGTTTTCTGACAAAGCAGGAGGGCATGGGATACAGAACACATGTAAAGGGATTACTAACCTTAGCTCAGACTAGCCACTGCCTCTTCCGCAGTAACAGGAGAAAAAGATCTGTACATACTGAATATGTTTCAGTATGTACATATTGGGATAGTTCACATTTAATAGCTTTTATTTTGGCTTAGAAACAGGAAAAAGGATGTCTGTTAATAGTTTTTAAAAGTTGCAAAATACATTTGTTTTCATTTAATGGGGATTACAATATTCTGTGTAGTATTATAGATGTCAGAAGTCATCTATTTTCTACCATTATTAAGCAAGGGTTTCTTTTTTGTGAAAGGTGCAGTTACCTTTAGCAGCCAAGGACGAGTAAATCCCTTTAAGGTAAAGTCTTCCAAGTGATGTTTTATATTATTTAAATACATTTCTATACAAAGAAGTATTTCCAAGTGATGAGATGACTCTCCCCAGACTTGGAGGCATGAAAGACTGATCTGTGTGGAAACAGAAGAAAGCAGCACTTGGGCTGAGAGTTGTCTTTTCCACCTACCTTCTAAGTACCTATGGTTTTGAAAGATACCTCTGTCTTTCTTGGGGATGTGATATTTGGGAATATATGTATCCTTCTTAATTTGGATTGTACCAAATGTATTTAGTTCTAAAGATGAGATGGCAATACAAACTTAACAGAAATTTTAAGAAAAAATAAGTCTCTTGGGATATTTTTCTTCTTTAAACATAAAGTGCTAACACTAGTTTGCTCTTTAGGTATCAGCCAGTTCCAAAGAACCAGCCATGTCAATGAATTCAGCACGTTCAACTAATATTTTAGACAATATGGGCAAATCATCCAAGAAATCCACTGCACTTAATCGAACTACAAATAATGAAAAGTCTCCCATTATAAAGCCTCTGATTCCAAAGCCGAAGCCTAAGCAGGTACTGTTTCAGCTACCCTCCTCTGCAGTAAGCAGCATGGGGTCTGTTTGTCTTCAGTTTTGTTCACTGTTTCAGATATAGGATAGGAGGTTATGACTGTTTACAATTGTCTTGTTAGGGAAGTGGGTTCAATTCTGTTTTTGCACCTGGGCACAGTGGCACACACCTGTAGTCCCAGCTACTCAGGAGGCTGAGGTGGGAGGATCACTTGAGCCCAGGAGTTTGAGTCCAGTCTGGGAAACTATAAGAGATACCCCATCTGAAAAAAACAAACCCCAAAACTTGTGTTTTTGCTTCAGAATCACTCCCTCTTCTGCCTCATGAGTTGTTACACACTTTGTAGCAGATTCTGACTTCCATGACCACTATCCTGCTCTCCCTGTCTTTTTTGAGACAGAGGCTCACTCTGTTACCCAGGCTGGCTGTAGTGCAGTGTCAGGATCTCAGCTCGCTCCTGGGTTCAAGCAATTCTCATGCCTCAGCCTCCTGAGTAGCTGGGATTACAGGGGCCTGCCACCACGCCCAGCTAATTTTGGTATTTTTAGTAGAGATGGGGTTTCAGCATGATGGCCAGACTGGTCTCGAACTCCTGGCCTCAAGTGATCCACCTACCTCAGCCTCCCAAAGTGCTGGGATTACAGGCATGAGCCACCACACCCAGCCTGTCCTGCCCCGCTCCTTGCTTTTATAGAATCACTTTTTAAAAATGTATATACTCAGACCCCAGAAGCTCAGACATTTATCTGTATTTTTATTAAAATCACCCAGATAGTTCTGATGTATATTCTTATTTACTATTATTCATAATAAATATTTACTATTATTTACTATTATTTAATAGTGACTGATACTGTACATGGCCCTAATTTTTCCTTGTTCTGAATCCTGATTTTTCCACTCTCATAAGTATTTGATCCTGGATTTGTCATCAGTAAAATAGATCTATTGTTTATCTTTTCTATTTCATATAATTGTATTCACTTAGAAAATATGGAATTTAGGCCAGGCGTAGTGGCTCACGCCTGTAATCCCAGCACTTTGAGAGGCCGAGGCGGATGGATCACACGAGGTCAGGAGTTGAAGACCAGCCTGGCCAAGATGGTGAAACTCTTGTCTATACTACAAATACAAAAAATTAGCCGGGCGGGTGGCAGGCGCCTGTAATTCCAGCTACTCGGGAGGCTGAGGCAGGAGAACCACTTGAACTCAGGGCGGAGGTTGCAGTGAGCCGAGTTCGCGCCACTGCACTCCAGCCTGGGCAACAGAGTGAGACTCCGTCTCAAAAAAAAAAAAAAAAGAAAAAAAAGAAAACATGGAATCTGAAGTATACTTTTTTGGTTTTGCATGTGTTTGCCTATTTATTTACAACTAAGACAAGATTTCATGTAAGAATTCTCAGTAATTATAGATGTTTCTTCACATTTTTCAGAACTTGCTTATAAAACATATAAAATTATACTAGATGTTATTGCAGTGTTCACATTTGTTTTTATAGGCATCTGCAGCATCCTATTTCCAGAAAAGAAATTCTCAAACTAATAAAACTGAGGAAGTGAAAGAAGAAAATCCTAAAAATGTATTATCTGAAACCCCAGCTATATGTCCTCAAAACACTGAAAACCAAAGGTCAGTACATAGAGAAATTTAGCATGCAGTGACCAAGTATAAAAAGTATACAGTAGCAGCAATACAAAATTATGCAGTGCTGTTATTCCTTAATACAAATAATACATTGGCATTGGTAGTGGGCATTCTGGACACTTGTGGCTTTAAGGAAGCCACAGATATTAATGTCTATTTACAATATTTATTAAAATATGCTTTAGTAAATTGTATATTTTTAAATTGTAGATATATTTTATTGGGATATATTTTATAATTTTTTTTGTTTGTTTTTAAATAGTTTAATGGGAAGAAACAACAAGATACAAAAAGAAGTGTATTAATAAGTAGTTTCATCCAACTGGTTTCTGTCTCCAAAAACAACCACTGCAACAAGTTTCTTGTAGAACTTTCCAAAATTATTCTGTTTATGTGCAAATACCTATTTGTCTATTTTTTGTTTCACACATTATTCTGTACCTTACTTTTTTCACTTAACAATAGCTTTTGCAGCTTATTTTCTATTACTACATAAAGAACTTCTTTATAGTGGCTGGGCACTCAGGAGGCTGAGGCAGGAGAATTGCTTGAACCCAGGAGATGGAGGCTGCAGTGAGCCAAGATTGCGCCACTGCACTCCAGTCTACGCGACAGAGTGAGACTCCTTCTCAGAAAAAACAAGAAGAAAAGAATAGTCACAATTTCATTTTTGCCATAATATATCTTATTTTTCTCATGCTGAGCAGTCCAGGGAGAAAAATAATAATAAAATAAAGTATATCTTATTTTCCTAATAACTTTATGTGAACCAGTTTAATTTGAGGGAGTGGCTGTGGTTTTCACATTTCCTGTTTTGTTCTGAATTTAATTTAGGTCTTAAACAATGAAAATTTTATTTAAGAAAATTGATAGGCCGAGCGTAGTGGCTCATGCTTTTTTTTCAGCCTAACTTTTTTTTTCGCTCTTGTTGCCCAGACTGCAGTGCAGTGGCACCATCTCGGCTCACCACAACCTCTGCCTCTGGGTTCAAGTGATTCTCTTGCCTCAGCCTCCTGAGTAGCTGGGATTACAGGCATGTGCCTCTACGCCCTTCTAATTTTGTATTTTTAGTAGAGACGTGGTTTCTCCATGTTGGTCAGGCTGGTCTTGAACTCCTGACCTCAGGGGATCCACCCGCCTTGGCCTTCCAAAGCACAGGAATTACAGTTGTGAGTCACCATGCCCCACCCGCCTAATGCTTTTTTTGAGACAGTCTTGCTCTGTCACCAGGGCTGGAGTGCACTGGTGCAATCTCAGCTCACTGCAACCGCCATCTCCTGGGTTCAAGCGATTATCATGCCTAAGCCTCCTGAGTAGCTGGGATTACAGGTGTGTGCCACCATGCCTGCTAATTTTGTTATTTTTTGGCAGAGATGGAGTTTTGCCACATTGACCAGGCTGGTCTCAAACTCTTGGCCTCAAGTGATCTGCCCACCTCAGCTTCCCAAAGTGCTGGGATTACAGGTGTGAGCCACCATACCTGGCCAAGCCTAACACTTTGGAAGGCCAATGTGGTCAGATAGCTTCAGCCCAGGAGATTGAAACCAGCCTGGGCAATGTAGGGAGACCCCGTCTCTACCAAAAGTTTTAAAATCAGCCAGGTGTGGTGGCACGTGCCTGTAGTCCCAGCTACTTGGAAGTCTGAGGTGGGAGGATTGCTTGAGCCCAGGAATTTGAGGTGGCAGTGAGCTGATTATACCACTGCACTCCAGCCTGGGCGACAAAGCAAGACCCTGTCTCTTGAAACAACAACAAAGAAGATTGATAATTTAATTTTTCATACTATCGGTTATACATAAAACTTACTTTTTGAAATTTTAAGGAATTACGACTATTAAAACTAATATTTTTCACAGATGTTGATATACTAAATCAGAAATGTCCAATTTTAGCCAGGTGGCTGTGCACTCTTTTAGTCCCAGCTACTTAGAAGGTTGAGGCAGAAGGGTTGCTTAAGCCCAGAAGTTTGCAGCCAGCCTGGGCAACATAGTGAGACTCACATCTCTTTAAAAAACAAAAAAAGAAAGAAATGTTCAAGTTTGGTTTTGTTTTTAAAAATAGCTGTTTAGAAGCAGAAGATTGCAGGCTGTTAGGTAGATTTGTGACGTTGCTCCAAGTTTCATTAAAATGGGTCTTCATTAATTTTTGGAAATTCAAGAACCTTTGTTATACCTTGATTTTTACTTGTTTTGATCTGTTGTTTTTCTGGAAATCGGTTTACATTAAGATTACTTAAAATTTGCTTATTTTCAGAAATTAGAGCAAGTGGTTATGGTCATACTAGTAATTTTTTAATAAAATTTTTTTAACCTTAAAAAGTTTAGGCCACGTGCGATGGCTCAAGCCTGTAATCCTAGCACTTTGGGAGGCCGAGATGGGCGGATCACGAGGTCAGGAGATGGAGACCATCCTGGCTAACACGGTGAAACCCCATCTCTACTAAAAATACAAAAAATTAGCTGGGAGTGGTGGCGGGAGCCTGTAGTCCCAACTACTCAGGAGGCTGAGGCAGGAGAATGGCGTGAACCCGGAAGGTGGAGCTTGCAGTAAGCCGAGATCACGCCACTGCACTCCAGCCTGGGCAAGAGAGCGGGACTCTGTCTCAAATAAATAAATAAATAAAATTAAAAAAACATTTAGACTTGTTATTTAGGATTCGTTTAGGTTCATCCTAGTGAGGGGCGTATAACTGGTGAGTTAAACATAAGAGACTCTGGGCCGGGCACAGCGGCTCACACCTGTAATCCTAGCACTTTGGGAGGCTGAGGCGGGCGGATCACAAGGTCAGGAGTTCGAGACCTGCCTGGCCAATATGGTGAAACCCTGTTTCTACTAAAAATACAAAAATTAGCTAGGTGTGGTGGTGCGTGCCTGTAGTCCCAGCTGTTTGGGAGGCTGAGGCAGGAGAATCACATGAACCCAGAAGGTGGAGGTTGCAGTGAGCTGAAATGGAGCCACTGCACTCCAGCCTGGGGGAAAGAGCGAGACTCTGTCTATGTAAAAAAACAAAACCATAGACTCTGGAGTCAAATTGCCTGGTTGTTGAATCCCAGGTCTGAGTTTTACTGTTTGTGTAACCTGGGATAAGTTATTTCACCTCTCTCAGCCTCCCTTTCCTCACTTATGGAATGGAGATAATAATTGTATCTATCTCATAGTGTTATTGTCATTTAAATAAGGTATTATGCATAAAGCTTTTAGAATAGTGCCTAGTAGATAGTAAGTGATCAGTAAATGTTAAATATTTGCATTAAACCTTCACTTGTGTAACTTAAAGACAATTTATGTCATGAGTGGAATCTAATGAAATGTACAAATGTGCTGTGTCCATGCTTCACCTAATGCTGATGCAGGTCAGCTCTGAGAGCAAGGGTGAGGCGATGGGAAAGGGACTTGAGAAAAGTAGTGAGGAATTCAAATAGCTGGTTTGGGGAAATAGAAAAAGAGCGTACCAAGGACATGTGGAAGAATTTTACCAGGCCACAAGGGCTAAGTGAGGTTAGAGACCTTGAGCCTGTCTACATTCATTAAAAAGTTGAAAGTACAGAGTTCATGGTTGCTACACTTGGAAAATACAAATGTGAGTGATCCTTTTGAATTTACCTTACAAAGGATTTTCCAGTTCATTGATCCTGCAGTCTCTAGGCAGTTTAAAGTAATATGAGGCCAGTCACAGTGGCTTATGCCTGTGATCCCAGCACTTTGGGAAGCCAAGGTGGGCAGATCGCTTGAGGTCAGGAGTTTGAGACCAGCCTGACCAACATGGTGAAACCCCATACAAAAAATTTGCCGGATGTGGTGGCGCATGCCTGTAATCCCAGCTACTTGGGAGGCTGAGGCAGGAGAATCGCTTGAACTCAGGAGGCAGAGGTTGCAGTGAGCTGAGATCGCACCATTGCGCTCCAGCCTGGGTGACAGAGTGAGACTCCGTCTCAAAAAAAAAAAGTAATATGAATATTAACAAGTGTAACTGTGTCTTCCTTATTTTACATAATAGATGTCAAAGATTTAACTCTGTATTAAGTATAAAATATTTTCACATAATTGTGATTTTAGGCCAAAGACTGGGTTCCAGATGTGGCTAGAAGAAAATAGAAGTAACATTTTGTCTGACAATCCTGACTTTTCAGATGAAGCAGACATAATAAAAGAAGGAATGATTCGGTTTAGAGTATTGTCAACTGAAGAAAGAAAGGTAAGGATAATTGTGCCAAGGTTGAGATCTTAGTGAATTCCCAGATTTAAAAAATTATTATAGAAATGCCTTTTGGCCGGGTGTGGTGTCTTACGCCTGTAATCCTAGCACATTGGGAGGCCAAGGCGGGAGGATCACTTAAGCTCAGCAGTTTGTGACCAGCCTGGGCAACATAATGAGACCTCATCTCTAACAATAATAATAATAATAATAATCTCTAATAATAATAACAACGATGATAATAACAATCATGATAACTTCAAAAAAAAAAAAGGAAAAACCTTTTTCTGTTTTTGGAAATTGAATACATCCACCAAACTTATTTTGAAAGAGTTTGTCATATATGTCGTAATATGGATAGGTAGTAATTATTATGTAATGGTGATGGGTTTTTTGTTTTGTTTTTGTTTGAGGCAGGTCTTGTTTTTTCATCCAGGCAGGAGTGTCTTGGTGTGATCACGGCTCACTACTACCTCGACCTCCTGGGCTCAAGCAATTGTCCTCTTTTTTTTTTTTTTTCTGTAGAGATAAGCTCTCACTGTGTTGCCCAGCCTGGATGATTAATTTTTTGACAGTTTACCGTTTTAATTTCTGTAAGTTCCTGTATGTTTTAAGTTAGGAGGCTACCCCAAGAAAAGATACATTTGTTAAAAATCAAAAGTGTCAAGCTGAGTTCATTGGCTCAAGCCTATAATCCTAGCACTTTGGGAGGCCAAGGCAGGAGGATCTGTTGAGCCCAGGAGTTTGAGACCAGCCTAGACAACATAGTGATACCCCATCTCTACAACAAATTTAAAAATTAGCCTGGCATGGTGGCACACACCTGTAGTCCCAGTTACTCAGGAGGCTGAGGTGGGAAGATCACTTACTTGAGCCCAGGAGGTCAAGGCTGCAGTGAGCCGTGATTGTGCCACTGCACTCCAGCATGGGTGACAGAGTGAGACCATGTCTCAAGGGGGAAAAAAAAATAATAAGTAAAAATGAATTCACATTTTTTGAATACTACTTTAGGGTTCTTGCAAGCAGAATTTTTAGAAATTCTATCTACTTACACATTGGATACTCCATGAGACTATTCCTTTTGGGAAAAAGACTGGTGTTCTGTTCCAGCCTTTGACATGGAAATTAGGACAGGTGTCTGGCTTGCTTCTCATGAACTTCTGCCATGTGAAGGAAGGAAGGAGCAATTTCTGTGTTAGATGTGGAAGGAATGTGTGTGGTGTACCAGTTAAATCCTCAGGTTTCACTTCCCCAGGAATGGCAGGGCACAGCACAGGCACCTAGTAACATAGATACTTGCTTTGGTAAATTGGGTTTTATGAAAATGGTGTTGTGTAATGAAGAAGCCAGAAACTGGTCTAAACACCTTTAGCATCATTTAGAACCTCATTTACAATTTTATGTTTCTCATTTGTTGTTCGATAAAATGGCATCTAAATAAATAAGACCTTACACCGCAAAAAAGGAAGAGACTTGGCAAAGGCTGTGATTGTGTTTTTGAATACTTAAAAATGTAATCAATGTTCTTAAGGTAAACCGTAAACATTTACTTAAATCCAGTTTGTTAATGTGAGAAATTCTACAGCTTGAAGAGCCCTTGAAATGGCCAGGGAAATAAAGTAGGAGCGGGGAACTCTTATAGATTAAAAGAGATTTAAGAGACAGATGAAATGAGTGGACTTTATCTGGCTCTTGCTAAGTGAATAAAAACCAAACCCCAAAGAATATATACTCCTTTATATAACATTCCTGAAATGATAACGTGATCAGGATGGAGAATAGAGTAGTGGTTGCCCGGGGTTGGAGTCGGAGTTGGGGCTTGGGGAAGCGGTTCTGTATTTTGACTGTGGTGGTAAACAAATAAACCTACAATAAAATTAAATACATACATACACCCAAATGATAGAAGTAAAATGGGATTGTTTCAATGTCAGTTCCCTATAGTTGTGATTGTTGGGCTATAGTTTTGCAAAATGTTACCACTGGGGAAAACTGGGTCAAGGCTACACAGGATCTTTCTGTATTATTTCATACAGCTGCATGTGAAACTGCAATTATCTTAGAATAAAAAGTTTCCTTTTTAAATAGTACTGTAATTATAGTATTTTGCAACTATATGATTAATATAAGCAAAGCTTAGATTGAGATATAAAAGTAATACAAATGTTTAATGTGCTCTGCATTTAAGTAATAAAAGATTTGTTAACAATGAGAACACTTAATTCAAGTGCTAATTATTCTGCTTTATATATAAAAATATTACCTGGAAAAGTAAATAAATCATTTACTTCTTATTTGTTATTTCCTAAAAATATTTTCTTTTCACCCCTGCTATTTTACAAAGGCATGGGCTAACAAAGCCAAAGGAGAAAAGGCAAGTGATGGAGCTGAAGCAAAGAAGCGAAACCGTGTGGTTGATGAAAGCGATGAAACAGAAAACCAGGAAGAAAAAACAAAAGAGAATCTGAATTTGCCTAAAAAGCAGAAACCTTTAGATTTTTCTACAAATCAGAAACTATCAGCTTTTGCATTTAAGCAGGAGTAAAGGAAGAAAGTGACCCTAGGAAAGTAATGGATTTTTTTTACTCATCTTGGTTTGAATATAGACTTGAGTCTTTGGAAAACTCATTATATATTTTTTAAAGAGTTTGAAGCAACTGTTTGTCTTTATAAGATAATGTAGTAATTATATCGGTGTAGGTAACAGGGCATATGTAAAAACTATCATATTTGCAGATTACTCTGCCTCCAAATGCAGGGCCTTTCAGAGATGCATTGTGATTGTAATTACTGAGTTGAAGCCACAACCAATTTGAATTTGTTTCTTACCTTGAAAAATCATTAAAGCCAAGGTATTAAAACCTCTGTGCATTGATACCTTCTAGGGGTTTGGTTCATTTGTTTTTTGTCGTGTACAAGGAAGGACAATAGTCTTCTTCCCAAGTGTGTTAGCATAGACTATATGTTTCTACTAGACCTAGGGGACCACGTCTTTTAATAATATTGGCCCTAAACATGTAAATAATCTTGTAGGTGAGACTTTTTTTCCCGGAAATTTCTTCCTGTGTGGCTTTCAGTTGTCTGTTTGTATAGCCTGGATTTTTTTGAGATAAATGTAACTTTCTCATTTGTATATTTGTCTTGATATGGTCTTAATGTTTTCTTTCCATGAAATGTATATATTTCTAGAAAATATATCTTATATTTACTACCATAATTTCTGCCACCACCCTCATCTTGCTCTGCATTATACACAGTAGAGAAGAACTGAAGACACTGCTGTGACAATATTGCAGTCCAAGGCATCATGTGCTCCTGGTGGGATACTCTGGTTATCAACATCAACAGTACTTTCCTGAGCAAGTCTTTGAAGGCTTGATAAGAGACCAAAGTTACGGAAAGTATTTAACTCTTCTTTTATATCAAACAAACAAGGTTTCATCATTTCATACATTTTTGGTTATTCTAAGCAGAGACTAATACAAATACAGCCACATAAAGGCAGTGTACTGAGGGTGGGAGGGAAAGAATCACATAAAATCAGCTGACTCAAAATTGAGGGTAGTAATAGGTTGAAAGGGAAAAAGTATGTTGAAAATTTAGACATAAAGGAGCCAAGAATATTCCTTATCCCATGATGATTAAGGTTAGGAAGACACACATTTTTGATTTTTTAATTAGTAGCTGATATCAGAGACATGATAGCACAGTGGTTGTGAGCACAGATTCCAAAGCCAGACTACCTAGGTTCAAAGACCCACTTCTCTACCTACTACTAATAGTTGGGTCATGTTGGGCTGGTGACCCAATTTCTAGCCTTTGTTCCCTCCTTGTTACCAGAATTAAATGAAATGAAAGCACTTAGTTTCTGACACATAGTAATCTTTTATATAAAAGTTACTATTCTGATAATGAGGATGCTGTTATTTCATCTTGCTTTGTTATTAGGTCTGAATACTATACAAACTAATTTTGATTTCAAGATCTTAAGTAAAGGTTTGTTTATAGTACATTGGAAAGCATGTTTGTAGACATTTATTTTGTTTTTGGTTTCTCAACTTGCTTTGTATATAGTTTATAATACCAGGTTGGTACAAAAGTAAATGCAGTTTTGCCATTTCGGTGGCAAAAACCGCGATTACTTTTGTGCCAGCCTAATGCTTAAGGTTATAATCTGTGTGTATTTCAGATTCATAGCAACCTGATAATACCAAGAATTTGCAAAAGGGTTTTTAATTTCCTACTTTTATTTGGCTGAAGGAAGGTTTTTGTGTTGACTCGGTTTAACTTACAAATCGAACTTTGAAACCAAGAAACATCCTTGTTTCTCTGCTATATAATAGTAAACCTGTTTTTTTCCAGTGTTTTTTTTTTTTTTTTTTTTCAGAGAATTGGGACTGAATAGTATGAAAGTGAAAATGGAAATAAATTAATATATTAATCATCGTATCAATAATACTGCCTACTTGAGCTTATTGTATACTATAGAAAATTGACATAATCTTAATTTTATTCTCCAAAAGCAAAAACTCCTTGGAGGAGGTTACTTTACAGATTTATTTCGGAGAGCAAGTGAATAGGCACTGGGGTTATGTGCAACTCTGGGGACTGTGCTATGATCTGTAGCCTCCCATGTCTGTTTAGCAGCCTGGAGTGAGTCACTGTCACTAACATGGAACAGATGCCAGGTAGTCCCTTTGGACAAAAGGATGAGGCCCATTCATATAGAAAGCATCTTAATCAGTGACTGTTGGTCTTATGGGCCCTCTTTGTTTCCCATCTGTTTTATTATTAGAATATATAATTTTCCCCCAGGTTTTCATCTTGAATCTCTCAAACCTACAGAAAATTTGAAATTTGACAGTAAACACCCGTATATCCTTCCTCTAGTTCGTCTTATTGTTGACATTTTTACCATGTATGTTTTATAGACAGGATTTTTTCTGAACCATTTGAAATATGCATATACTTCATCCCTCAGTACTCAGCACGTACCCTAAGAACAAAGATTTTCTTCTGCATAATTACAATACCATAATTACTCCAAAGAAATTTAACAGATGATGTTATTACATAGCCTGTATTTTATAATAAAATTTCCCTCAAAGTGCTGTTAGCCATTTTTACCCCCAGTTTAGGATCCATTCAAGAATCATGCATTGTTTTTAATTATTAGAGGTACGGGGTTTTTTTGGTTTTTGTTTTTTTCAGACAGAGCCTCTCTCTGTCACCCAGGCTGAAGTGCAGTGACACAATCACAACTCATTGTAGCCTTGACCTCCCTGGGCTCAGGTGATCCTCCTGCTTCAGCCCCAAGTAGCTGGGAGTGTAGGTGCATGCCACCACACCTGGCTAGTTTTTGTATTTTTTTAAATAGATGGGGTTTCACCATGTTGCCCAGGCTGGTCTCAAACTCCTGTGTTTGTTTGTTTGAGACAGTCTCTCTGTTGCCCAGGCTGAAGTACAGTGGCATGATCTTGGTTCGCTGCAGCCTCTGCCTTTCGGGTTCAAGTGATTCTCTGGCCTCAACTTCCTGAGTAGCTTGGATTACAGGTGCGCGCCACCACGCCCAGCTAATTTTTGTATTTTTCATAGAGACAGGGTTTCCCCCTGTAGGCCAGGCTGGTTTCAAACTCCTGACCTCAAATGGTCTGCCCACCTCAGCCTTCCAGAGTGCTGGGATTACAGGCGTGAGCCACCGCACGCAGCCCCAAGGTTAAAATTTGAAGGATGGCCTGTGCCAGAATGGGCAGAAGGTAGTATTCTGGGATTGACACTAATTTCTACCCACTTTGGGACTGTATTATAAAGGACAAAAACTGATGGAATAGGAAATAAACATAATGGAATAAAAAAAGCCAAAAGTTGGTCTTTTGATAGATTAATGAATTAGAAAAATTATGTCTGCTTCATCTGAAAAGTCAGGATTGTCAGACAAAATATTACTTATATTCTAGCCACATCTGGAACCTGGTCTTTGGCCTAAAATCACAATTATGTGAAAACATTTTATACTTAAGACACAGTTTAAAGTACCTTATGATTTTAAGTTAGTAATCAATCATAAGTCTTTGATATCTATTATATAAAGTAAGGAGGACAGAGTTACACTTGTTAATATTCATATTACATTGATCATGGTGAGAGAAAAGCACAAAAAATGATCTTAGGAATGAAAAGAGATTTATTAACTACAAATGATACAGATATGAAAAAGAAGCTTGTAGTCAGTTTTGTGTGTCAAATTGGCTAAGCGAGAGTCACCAATATTCAATCAAATACTGACTTATTTTATGGATATTAAAGTTCATGATCAGTTGAATTTGAGGAAGAGAGAATATCCTAGATCATCTGTATGGGCCTGATTTAATCAGTTCAAAGGCCATAAGAGCAAAACTGAGGCTCCCCTGAGAAAAAAGAGGAAATTATACCTGTAGGTAGCAACTTCAGCTCATGCCCAAGGCTTCTAGCCTGCCAATCCTGAAGGTCTGGCCTGTGGATTTAGGGTTTTAGACTTGCTGTGCCAGCCCCCCATAATTATGTGAGCCAGTTCATTGCAAGAAATCTTACATATATTTCCTACCAGTTCTATTTTTTGGTTGAACACTGACTCAAGGTATTACAAACAATTTTATGACAACAAATTGGAAAACTTTAATGAAATGAACAGGTACCTACAAAAGCAAAGCTTATTAAAATTGAGACATTTATGATAATAAAACATTTAGGAATAAATTTAACAAAATAAATGCAAAACTTACACTTTGAAAACTATAAAACATTGTTGAAAGACATAAAAGAAGAACTAAATAAATTGAAAGCCATCTCACAGTTATGGACCAGAAGACTTAATACTGTTAACATGATAATACTCCCTAAACTTATTTATAGATTTAATGAAATCCCTATCAAAACCACAGCTGGCTTCTTTGCAGAAATTGACAAGCTGGTCCTAAAATTGATAAGGAAATTCAAGGGACCCAGAATAGCCAAAACACTCTTGAAAAAGTAGAGTAAGTTGGAGGATTCACACTTTCCACTTTTAAAACTTACTATAAAGACAGTGTGGTACTGGCATAGAATAGACATAAAGATTAATGGAATAGAATGGAGAATCCAGAAATAGACCCTCTCATTTACAATTAATTGATTTTTAACAAGAGTGCCAGGAAAATTTAATGGAAAAAGGATAGTCTTTTCCACAAATGATGTTGGACATCTAGACACATCCCAAAGAAGTTGGAGCTGTACCTCACACCATATAGTGAATCAAGACCTAAATGTAAGAGCTGAAACTATTAAGACCCTTAGAAGAAAACAGATGTAAATCTTTGTGACTTTAAATATGACACCAGAAGCACAGTCAACAAGAGAAAAGATGAAGTCAACATCAAAATTAAAAATTTTGATGTTTCAGGGAACACCATCAAGAAAGTGATAGCCAAGTACAGTGGCTCACACCCATAATCCCAGCACTTTGAGAACTCTGAGGTAGGAGATTGTGTGAGCCCAGAAGTTCGACTTCGTCTCCACAAAAAAATTGTAAAAATTATCTGGGCATGGTGGTGCATGCCTGTAGTCCCAGCTACTCAGGAGACTGAGGCAGGAGAATGCCTAAAGCCCAGGAATTCGAGGCGGCAGTAAGCTATGATTGCACCATTGCATTCCAGTGGCCAATAAGCACATGAAAAGATGCTCAGTATGTTTAGTCATCAGGAAAATGCAAATCAAAAACCACAAAGAAGCTGGGCACACAGGTACATACCTATAGTCCCAGCTACTCAGGCCACTGAGGTGGGAAGATTACTGGAAGTGTGGAGTTCAAGGCCTCAGTGTACTATGATTGCGCCTGTGAACAGTTGTTGTGTTCTAGCCCGGGCAACATAGTGAGACTGTCTAAGGAAAAAAAAAAAAAAAAACAGATAACACTTCACACCTACTACCACTAGGATGGCTATAAGGCCATAATCAGAAAGATGGACAATAACAAATGTTAGTGAGGATATGGAGAAACAGGAACCCTTATAAGTTGCTGGTAGGAATGTAAAATGGTGCCATTACCAGTTCCTCAAAAGGTTAACTGGCAATTCCACAGCTAGCTATAAGCCCAAAATCAATGAAACTGTGTATCCACATGAAAACATAGATGAATATTCATACATCGTTTTCCCTGATAGCTAAAAAGTAGAAACAACCCAAATGTTAATCAACAGATGAATGGATAAATATTATTTGATAACAAAAAGAAGTGAAGTACTGATACATGTTATAACATGAATAAACCATAAAAACACTATAAGTGAAAGAAACCTCACAAAGAACCACATATTTTACCCTATTTTTCTAAAAATAAAAATGAACTTATTAAGAGGGATATTTTAATAACGGGGGGAGGAAAAAAGAAACACAAAATACTAGTAAGCAAGTAATTAGGGCAATTTATATTCCTAATGGAATATAAACTTCTGGTTCAGAGAAGTGATTTTTCAATAACTTACGGGAGTACTGAAACTTGTCAGAAACCCATGGGGTTAGGACTGACAGTAATTTTCCAACATAGGGTGTTCATGTTCAAAGCTTGAGTAAATACTGAGTGCCAGACCAGGACATGAAAACAACCTGGTAAGCTATTTAAGAGTTGGGAAGCTGGGCGAGGTGGCGCATGCCTGTAATCCTAGCCCTTTGGGAGGCCGAGGTGGGCGGATTGCCTGAGCTTAGGAGTTCGAGACCACCTGGGCAACATGGTGAAACCCCTTCTTTACTAAAATATGAAAAGTTAGCTGGGCATGGTGGCACGCACCTGTGGTTCCATCTACTCGGGAGGCTGAGGCATGAGAATTGCTTGAACCTGGGAGGTGGAGGTTGCAGTGAGTGGAGATCGCGCCACTGCGCTCCCGCCTGGGCGACAGAGCAAGACTCTGTCTCAAAAAAAAAAAAAAAAAAAAAAAAAAGGAATATATTGAGAATATGTCATTGTCCCTATAGTAGGGAGAAGCACTCCAGGCCATACTTTCAAGCCCAAATCGGCCTTATATAGATGTTAGTCTACTAGTTCAGGGGAAGAGCCTCAAAATAATTCCCTTTAAAGACAAGACTCTCCTTATCCACGAAGCCTTTCCTGTCCTGCTCAGGCATGGGCAGACCAGGGCTTGTTCATCTTGAGGCCCAGGATCCTGCCCTCTTCAGTCCAGAATATACTAGTCTGATTTTTGAAATACCAATTTAAGCTTGTGGGGGCTGGCAGGCTGAAAGTTTTTATAGGGCTGACAAGCAGGGTAGAAACCAGGAAATCAAGGTCAGAGTTGATGTAGAGTGAAATCAGCAGGGTGGGCTGGCAGGCTATCTTGAGGCAGGACGGCTAGTGAGGATACCTTCAAACAGAGGACCACATATTTTGATTCCACTTTTATGAAATATTCAGAATGGGCAAATCTATAGAGACAGAAAGTAGATTGGTGGTTGCCTAGGACTGGGAGTTAGGGGGAAAGTGGGAGTGACTGATAATGAATACAGGGTTTCTTTTTGGAATGATGAAAATTTTCTAGAATCTGGTTTTAGATAGTGGTAGTTGTTGCATAATTATATGAATTTACTAAAAGCCTGGTGCGGTGACTCACACCTGTAATCCCAGCACTTCGGGAGGCTGAGGCGGGCGGATCACGAGGTTAACAGATCGATACCACCCTGGCCAACATGGTGAAACCCCATCTCTACTAAAAATACAAAAATTAGCTGGGCGTAGTGGTGTGTGCCTGTAGTCCCAGCTACTTGTGAGGCTGAAGCAGGAGAATGGTGTGAACCCAGGAGGCGGAGCTTGCAGTGAGCCGAGATCACGCCATTGCACTCCAGCCTGGTGACAGAGCAACACTCCATCTCAAAAAAAAAAATAATAACAACAACAAAAAAATGAATTGTATACTTTACATGAGTGAAAGTATGGTATATGAATTATGGCTCAATAAAGTTGTTATAGTAAAACTAACTCAAGAAAAAATAGAAAATCTGAATAGTCTATAACCAGTTT